CCGCGGGAAGCGCGACTCGTGGGAGTGGTGCCAGGCAGAAGGGGCACCTGGGACTCTGTACGCGGGACCCGGGCAGTTGCACCTGGGCTGGGAGGGGATCCACTGCCCTGCAGGTGGAGCGAGGTGGGGGGGAAGGTGCTCTCGGTCCAAGTGGTTGGGACGAATCAATATGGATGGAGTTGAGGGCTCGAGAGGAGGTTTGCAGAGGCGGGGAGGAAGGCGGCTGTTGCGGGACTTGCGGTAACGCTGCCGCGCAGAACAGGGAACGAAAGCCTCGTGTGCCGGGCCCGGTCCGGTATCCCGGGGGCGTGGAAGAACCCAGGGCTCTGGTGGAGGTGGAGACAGGTGGAAAGCAGGGAGCTCCCAAACCTGGGGGTTGGGATGATTACTCATGGGTGGAGGTGATGGTGCGAGTAGCGGTGGAGGCAATGGTGGTAGTGGAGGCGATGGTAGAAGTGGAGACGATGTCAGAAATGGAGGTGGAGTTGATATCAGCCTTGGAGGCGATGGCCCGAGTAGAGGTGGAGATGATGGCAGCACTGGAGGCGATGGCCCGAGTGGAGGTGATGGCAGCAGTGGAGGCGATGTCCCGAGTGGAGCTGGTTTCTTGGGGTGAGGAGCGCAGCTCTGTTTGGTGCTGGGGCTGCTTCCCCTTCGCCCGTCGCGTTTGTCTCCTCGCCGCGGCCCGGTGCTCGGCTGGGACCTCCACCTTTCTTTCTCTGCAGCGCCCGGGAAATCTTCCTCCTCCCGGTTCTCATCCTCATCGCTCTCTTCAAAAGTTACGAATGACGCCGTTGATGTTTTTCGTAATATACTTTACTATGCAAGTAAAAAATGTGTGTTTTAATATTTGTGCTTTTTAAAATTTAGTTTCCCTTTATGACATATGCTACAGGCCCCGCACGAGCTTAATCCGGCACGATCCCTGACATGCAATATCCCGGCGTCTACAAACTAAGCTGTATCTGCGGCAGCATGTACATTGGGGAAACTAAGCGACACGTCTCGGACCGTGTTCGTGAGCATAAGCCTGATTTGAAACACGGTAGGACCAATACTTCTGCCGTGGCTGATCATTATTTTAATGCGGCTGGCTCACACTAAATTGATTTCTCTAAGACGAAGGTACTTTGGAAACCCACTGGCTATCAACAAAGATTTGTTCATGAAGTCATCCATGTGTACAGACATGGACACAATTTAAACCAAGAAGATGGGTACAAACTCAGCAATTGCTGGAAGGACGTTATCAACCAGTTCAAGTCATAACTGGCTGTAATGTTTCCATTTTAGACCTGGCAGCCCATTAATTGGTGTAAGCTCACCACCAGGACCAGCACTGCCCACTACTACAATCACCACTAGCAGCAGTCCTTGATTGGTGGAAGCCCACCACCAGTACCATCACTGCCCACTACTACAATCACCACTAGCAGTAGCCCTTTATTAGTGGAAGCCTACCACCAGTACCATAATTACCCACTACTACCATCACCACTAGCAGCAACCTCCACCGTCACCAGTATGAGTTTGTAAAGCGAGGTGCAATGATTACAGCCCTTTAATTGGTGGAAACCCACCACGTTGTCCACCACTTACATTAACATTAGCTGCCCCGCCCCTTACATTAACATTAGCTGCCCCGCCCATGCTGCTGACACTTGGGGCTACGCCCATGTCAAACCTTTATCAACAATTTGCCTCGAGACGCCAACCCCCTTTTCCTGATGACGAAAAGGGGGTTATGTTTAATTTCTTATTAACTTTATTTTTTTTTCTATCTACGTGGTGACTTTACCGAGAGAACCAAATAATATGAATTGCTGCAGTCACGATAGTTAAGTCAAAATTTAACCATGAGTGGAGTTGAGGGGAATCATAGAGGGTGTGAAGGGGCCGAGAGATGCTGACGGGCGGCGAGGGAGTCATTCGAGAGGATGCCTAGTGAGGAGATGAAGCAATTCAATCGCTCCACGTGCAGGTGCTGGGTGGATGACTGCACAGCAACATAGTGGGAGATGGCGACGGCTCGGGGAGGTCTCCATCCAGCCGTGGATTGACCATGGCTGATGATGGATGCTGCTCACTCACTTTGCGACGTCTGAAACGCCAGAGATGCACGGCGATGTGCAGGATGTGCAGCGGTGGAGCTGATGGCCTCTTTGCAGCTGCTGCACAGCTGACCCACAACGTGGAGCAGAGCAGGGAGCACGCTGTCCACTATGGTCTGGCAGCTGCCGCTCAGCTGACCCATAGCCTGCAGTAGGGCAGGGAGCACGCTGTCCACTATGGCCTGGCAGCTGCTGCTCAGCTGACCCATAGCCTGCAGTAGCGCAGGGAGCACGCTGTCCACTATGGCCTGGCAGCTGCTGCTCAGCTGACCCATAGCCTGCAGTAGCGCAGGGAGCACGCTGTCCACTATGGCCTGGCAGCTGCCGCTCAGCTGACCCATAGCCTGCAGTAGCGCAGGGAGCACGCTGTCCACTATGGCCTGGCAGCTGCCGCTCAGCTGACCCATAGCCTGCAGTAGGGCAGGGAGAACGCTGTGCACTATGGCCTGGCAGCTGCTGCTCAGCTGACCCATAGCCTGCAGTAGCGCAGGGAGCACGCTGTTCACTATGGCCTCACTGTGGCTCCTGCACAGCTGACCCGCAGCGTGCAGGAGAGGAGTCGGCTCGCTGTCCATGAGCCAGGACATCCCGTGCCAGGCTGGGCTGTCCCTCTCCCTCTCTTGTCCATCTGCATGGCCGCTGGCAACCGCTGCTGGTGGCGAGACGTTCTTGACGAGTCCCGAGTTGTTGTTGTGGTGGTGTTGGAGCCGTTGATGTTCGAACCCCCACGCCGAGATCCTCCGGGGAATTCCACCATCGGCTGCGTGAGCAGCAGCACCACGGCTATCTTCACGGTGGTGGTGGTGAAGTTCTCTGAAGCTTGAGAAGTGGAGGAGCAGCATTGGGCGAGGTGGCTGCCTCGACCGGAGCCGACTCCACTCCGGCCTCTGCTGTGACGTCACCGTGGCGTCAGAGATTTCCACGGCTGTTACGTCACATGAAAGTTGTCACGTGGCTGTGCCATGTAACACCACCACGTGATGCACTGCAATACTGAGTTTATAGAATTGGCATACAATACTTATTATTTACATCTAGCTTATACTAATTAACGTCATGGATTCAACCATGTAACATTAGTTGTATATATTTAACATATTTGTTCTTGTAAAACACGTTTGTTTATGACAATTTTCAGGCAATGGCTCTTCTTTCTAGCAGATTATTTCTCCATTCAAGATGAAGGGCCATCGCCCGAAACGTCACCTGTTATATATTTTCTTTTACGGCCACACTGTTATTGGGCGTTAGATTTGTTTGTGGACCACTGCCAAGGCTGCAGCATCCTCACTGTGCATTTGCTCCGTCCGTCTGGCTGTATGTCTGTAAGAGGGGGTCAGGGCAATTCTCGTAGAGTTGATCTGATTCGAGTGCAACTTGAACGGAAAGTTGCGTTGCTGGTGGGGACTCCACCGGCCACATTGCTCACAGGGCGAGTGTTTTGTGTAAATCTGCCTAGCAGTGCCACCTAGCCACATGCCATGGTACAATGGGTGAGCACACGGGACTTGCAATCCATACAGAGGTACTACGTACAATAGCTGCAAGCAGCCGAAACAATGGTGCAAGTTTATCATAAATACATTCTCAAATGGTTTCGAAATTCAGCGTCTCATCAGCAGCCGTGCTCGCTTGAACCATTGGTTCAAACACAAGGACCATTCTCGAGGGATCTCAACCCTTTAGCGACTTATCAGCCTTCAGCGTCTCTCAGCAAGATGGTTGTAATCAATGTCGGGCTGCTTTTTGTACCCCGTGCCGAAGTTGCCACACAGCATCATGTACTCATTAGTTGACCCTTAAGCGACTCATCAGCAAGGTCAGACGTGAACCACCTGGTCATCATGGGCACAACTCTGCAAGTGTCCACAATAAATTATTCGTCAGCGGTCACTTTTTGCTAGAAACAATGCTGCTGGAACCGCCAGATGTTATAGGCAACGACATTCTCCACGTGCTATGGGCCCTAGCTTCACAGAAAAACTATCGAACACAAATACTTCGATTTGCAACCCATTAGTAACAAAACAAATGAGTTGTGTAAAACTGCTTTTGTTAATTTGCAGACACGGGCCGATGTTCCTGTTGCATGATCCCAATGGATTTATTCGCAGGTAACTTTGGCTGCATTGGGACGTTTATCCGACATTAATTAAAGGTGTCTGTGGGTATAGCTATGTGGGAGGAAACGCATGCAGGACAGGGGAAGAGCATGCAAACTCCTCACCCACATTGCAGAACCCAGGGTGAGAACACACAATTGGCACAGGGAAATTCAAGAGCATCAGGAATCGAACCCAGGTCCTTTTTGCTGAGGCACAAACGTTGCACTGCCCCACCTCCCTGTATCTTCTGAAAGATGACCTCAGTTTGAGTGACAATAAGATAACAGGCCTCCTCCATCCAGTCCTTCCCATTGTGTTTGTATTCATACCATCAGCCAGACGACCTTCAAGGGAGTGCATCATTTCAACATTGGTTCTCCGTCAGCACCACTTGGGACGGGTTGTCGACATTCAACCTTTCATCAGCAGTGGGAGAGTCAGGATTTGCTCAAACAGACGCCGGTGAACTGCCGAGATGTTTAAGAGGCCTTTTGATGGACACCTCACTTCCCGGAGCATCCTCTACATTTCAGAAGCTCATTCACAGCTGCTACCCCCAAGTGTAGACGTGCAACATTGTCAACTGCCGTTCGACACGTCACTTGTGCCAGCCTAGGTGCACCTTGAGGCCCATCCCCATGACGCGTGCGAGGTTGATGCCGTTGGCCAGGTGACTGGCAGACCCAAGAGGAGTTGCCCGTCGATCAACCGAGACGACCGTGCCACGAGCAGCGACCACCACACGAAGGGACAACACAAACGCAATGCCACAACCGTGTAGCGGTGTTTGTTGAGTTGTTGTTTTTTATATTAAAACATAAAAGCCAGAATATTTGTCAATAAAAAAAACGACAATGGACAAAGAACCGGAGGAACAAAACTCAGCCACCAGCATTTGGAGGAAATGAAATAAATAAAGAGGGGGGATGTGGGGAAGCTCCAACGAAGGGTGTGGGGCATGCGGCGGCAATGGTTGTGTGGACACGGCCCCCCCCCCCCTCAACATCAAACCCACGCCCCGGCCGGCGACCGTGTTCTGTACACAGGCTCGCCACATCGACACGAGCATCACAGCCGCCGGGCAAACGCGGCGTCTGTCGGCAATCCGGCGAGGGGGAGGAGCGGGGGAAAGGTGGAACCTTGAGGCGGTGTGCCGTGGAAAGTTGGTGCCAAAGTCTCTCTCATCATCTCTCTTCTCATCTCGTTCTCAGCCCCCCCCCCCCGTCACCCTTCCCCTCAGCTTAAAAAACGCCGGCACAGTTAACAGCACACCACCATTCACGCGCAGAGTTAGGACTTCTTTACACGCACACTCTACACATTTGCTTAACCCACTAATGTACAAACCCACCCACCCTCCCGCCCCCGCTCTCTCTCCCCCCAGTCGCAAATGTACAAAGAATCCCATCTCCCCCTTACCCCCGTAACGCAACGTCAACGCGTACACGCGCAGCGCCGTGCTGGCCGCCGGCGCGGCAGGGAAGTTGACAAAAACACAGGGCCCCCGGTAAGATCTCCCTCCGTTGAACAAAAAAAAAAACAGAAGTGTAAACTCTTAAGTAATTCTATGCGTTTACATAGAAGCATTCTAAACTCTCAAGGGGATTCTTTCTCACGGTCACTTTAACGTCAACCGCGCGGCGACGTTTTGACACTTAGCACCGGAAACGCAACGGGCACGACGTAGACATCGGTCGACGTCGTCATGCTCATCCATACAACTTGAAACTTCCGAGCGGGGAATTATGAAGAGACCAAGCGAAGTGGCTGGCACAGGAAGCAAGCGCAGGCAACGCCGTGCACAGAATCCCAACAAGCTGCCACACAGCCAGCGGGCACAACTCCCTTCGAACCCCCCCACCTCGTTAAGGTGGCAGAGTGGTCTGCCGACGTTGTGTGGCGTCACGGGAACAACCCCCCCCCCCCCCCAGTGAAGGTCGTCACCTCGTCAGCTCGCATCGACCCGCCGTTAACGATGCCTTTATTTGTCAAGTGTTCACGTTCCAAGCATCGACAGCAACGGGGGAAAAATCGTGAAGGTCAACGCGAGTAGAGAAATGAGACAAACCGGTCCCCTCCTCGCCTCCCTCCGCTGGCGTGCAGCCTCCCCGCCCCCCCCCTTTAGCGCCGGTGGAGAGGCCGAGGGGAGAGCGAGCGGCTTCTGTACACGGCGGTGGGGTGAGCAGCGACGCTGCCATCGGCTTCTCGCGCAGCTAAAACGCACGCTTCCGCAGCCCTCGCAGCAACAGTCGCATCTCTCTCCGCCGGCTCCTGGCCAAACTCCCGTGGATAACGCCTCGCCGTGCTGATCCGCGTCCAAAGGACCGCCACCTCCTCCTCCTCTCCCAGCGCCACTGCCGCTCCTTCTTCGAGTCTCCTCCGCAGCAACTCCCACCACGACCACATTTTGTCTCAATGGCCCAGCAGCCTGGGTTTTGTCACCCCGCCCTGCATCACCCCACCGCCCTCTCTCAAATCGCGGGGGGGGGGTGCGAGCTGTCGATTTCTAAACCGACGCCACCATGTGGTCCACTTCCCAGTGTCTCCTGCTCGGCGGTGACGGATGCAGTTGGAGGAGACAAACACGAAGGGGGGGTAGGGGGTGTGACCACGCGATTCCCACACTGGGCTTAGGATGCCAGGGATTTCAAATCTTCGCTCATCGTTTGCGTTTATCGTCCATTTGCGCTCGCTTTGCGTTGTAAAATTCTCGTTTCTCCTCCTCTCGCCATTACGAGGATTTCTCTTTCTTGACTCTCCCCCCACCCCCGCCCCCAAACAACCCGCAAGAGAGTTCCCAGTCCCGTCGATCGCAGGCAAAAACGCATGGCAGTTTTTTCCGTAAAGTATTAAATAAAACTCCGACAACGGCAATAACACCCCGCCCCGCTGATGGGCACGGCGGCGAGCAGTCGCCCACTCCGCACGAGTCGGTCGGCTTGAACTCCGACGTGTGCCCTCCTCCCTGCCACCGTATCGAGCAGGGGGCGCTCACGGGCGAAAACCAGGCCGGGCCGGCGCACGGGCGAGTTTAGGTGGGCGCAGCCGTCTCCACCGGTCGGCCAAACCCGGCCGTGCGCTGGCTCGCCACGGCGGACTCCTTCCGCCCTTGCTCCTTTGGCCGTCGCCGATAGGACCCGGCAACGCTGGCGCCAACGTCGTCCACCGACGACGATGACCACTGTCCTGGCCAGAATGGGGTTTGGGGGGGGCGGGGCGGTAGGTAGGTAGTGGAATTTGGGATGCCCGAACGCCGGGGGAAGGAGTCAACCCGAGTCCGAGTCGCTGGTGTCGCTGGAGCTGGAGCCGCTGGAGGAGCTGGAGCTGCCCGAACTGGAGGAGGACGACGAGGAGGAGAGACGCGACGCCACCCCGGGGCCCTGCGCTTCCGACGGCTTGTCCGCTGCGCACACACACGCGTGTTCAGCAAGCGCACGCGTGTTACAGGAGCACGCGGGCACACACAGAGACTCCCCACACCCCCAACACCCCGCGCAGCCGCGACAGACTGCTGGACCGAGCGCTGATAGAGAGTCGCACCGATAGAGGGAGGCACAGCACCCAAGGGGGTAGTTGGCGAGCACCACGCCAGGCCACTGTCATCTCCCCGGTGGTGAATGTTTACAACACACCGCACACCAGGTACTCATTTGAAGCCTAGGCCCGGTTCAGATGAGAGGGTGGCGACGGTGAAAGGGGCGAGGTGGTCGAGGCGAGATGCTGGAGTTGAGTGTGGAGATGCGAGGGTGAGGTGAGGTGGTAGGTGAGACTGTGGAAGGCAGCGATGGGCAACAGAGGAGGTAACGGGCACATGAGCGGCACCTGCACCTCAACTTTACATTGTGCTTGTGCACTTATCATCACCCTAGCTGTGAATATTTATTTTATCCTGAAGAAATCCGATGAGCTATGAAACTCTTTTTCACCGATGTCCAGTAGGGGTGGGTCAGAAAGTCACAAAAAAACATGACAGGAGTGCAAAGTACAGGAAAGGTAAACACATCGCTGACAAAAATACACAAATAAAACATTTCGATTTAAAGCTTTCATGACTGCAATGATTCATCTTCTTTGGTTCTTTCGGTAAAGTCACGTAGAATGAGAATAAAATAATAAATTGATAAAATAAAATAACACAATAATAATCTCACGACGTTTCGGCCACAACACAAGCGGCCTTCATCAGGTGAAGGGACGAGACTGTCTGGTAGGACCACTCCAGTGCTGTCCTAACAGACAGTCTCGTCCCTTCACCTGATGAAGGCCGCTTGTGTTGTGGCCGAAACGTCGTGAGATTATTGTGTTATTTTATTTTATCAATTTATTATTTTATTCTCATTCTACGTGACTTTACCGAAAGAACCAAAGAAGACAAATAAAACACTTTATTTTACCGGGTAAGGACCACTGAGCTATGTAGCTCTTGTTCAGAAGTGACCTGGCCACAAATGATAGCCCAACGAAGTGGCTTATTATGTGGAAATGTATAGCAAACTCCAGTAGGTGTCAAGGTCGAGATCGAACCCACGACCTCCTGGAAACCAGGCGAAGCACCTTTAGACCAGTCCACGAGGGGGAGGCAAGGTTGCCCACACCCTTGCTGAAAGGTCGAGAAAGGGCGAGGCGAGGGCTATAGAGGTGAGTGGGCATAAGGGGAGCGAGTGAGGTGGAGGGGTGAGAGATGAGGTGAGTGAGGGCTCCCCTCACCCTTCTTCTTGTTGTTGTTGTTGGGCGGTTTTTTGGTGGGGTTGAGCTGGCCGCTCACATCCTGTAGCCTCCTCTCCAGCTCCCTCTTCTTCTCCAGCGCCAGCTCCTCCCTGCTCTTGCCGGCAGTCTTCTTCACGGCTGCGGCACAAAGACAAAGATCCCCCGTTCAGCCTTTAACAGACCGAGGCAAGTGCTGTTATAGCGAGCTACGCCTGAAGCCCAGCATGGCACGAGGGTGGGTGGCCAGCACCACGACCGGCCGCCTTTATCCCTCCAAGTTGCGACGTATACTACACACCGCACAAGGTACTCATTTGAGGCCGTGTCGACCTAAGCGAGGGCCAGGAAAGGTTCAGATAATCGTCAACGGTGTTGGTGACCGTGAGCGGGAATCGAATTTGGGTCGTTATCGGGTTCGTAGCAGCGCAAACCGCGACACATCCCACACACGCCCCTGCATCGCCTGCGAACAGACTCTTGGTACAAGAGGCTGTTCACGAGCCAGCATCTATGAAGGGCCGATACAAGAGGGGGGCTGTGGATGGGTGGCAAGCACCACGCACACGCCAGGCCGCCTTAGTCTCCCAAGTGGCGATGTTTACACGCCTCCTTCGGCCACACGCACGGGCGCCTGCATGCGTGCGCAGCGGGAGGCGCCCCCCCCTCACCGTAGGGCTTACGTGGCTTCTTGCGGAGGCAGGACATGACGTAGCGCTCGAGCTCGCGCAGCGTCGACGGCTTCAGAGTCTCAAAGTCGATCTCGATCTCGGGATTCGAGTTCCGCAGGGACGGCTCGCGCGCCTGCACCCGTGGGGAACAGCACGCACGGCCGGTGAAAACAGCACGCACGGCCATGTGTATAGAATCAGGCAACCTTTATTTCAAGACTGGGAGGAATCCGATGAGCTATAAAGCTATTTGTTCACACACAACACACAGACACGTGAGCAGTACCTGGATGATGTGCACCACACGGCCCAGCTTGTCCCCGGGCAGCTTGTTGATGTCAAGGCTCAGCTGCCGCTTCTCATCGTACGACATCGGCTTCGCCTCGTCCTCCTCATCAGAGTCGAACGGGGGCACCACCGCAGCCGCCGCCTTCGCCTTCTTCGACGGTCTGGCGAGAGAGACAAAGAGGGATGTGGGGAGGGGCGATGAGGTAATAATAGAGCAGCAAGGAGAGGGACGAGGTGATGGGTGGAGAGCCTGACCAGCAGACGCTTGGGCAACTAGACCGGCGACGAGTGGCTAACATCAGCGGCAATGGTGGGTGATATCAGTACCGGTACCTGTACACCCCCCCCCCCCCCACACACAGCAGTTCACCATTCAGGTGTGAAGTATGGCCAAGCAAGCCTCAGGAACAAAACACGGCGTGTTGGGAGGCCTTTTTTCCATCCAGGAGAGGATTGACGAAGGGCTGCATTATGGCTGTGAATTAATACCGGTGAATAAAAAAACATTCTCCCTCTCTCGCCGCTCTGCGGTTCACGTGCAAACGCGAACCGATCTACACTCCATCCTGGCCACGGCACTGCGTCAGTGTTCATCCCCTCACGCTTGAGAGAGGCAGTCGCTATCGCTCAGATTTATATTCGTTTCATTCCTCCGCTTGTACGTGCGTTTTTACTTTTGCCGCGTTGGTGACCCAAGTCAAAGATACTCTTGCAAGCACCACACCCCTACACCGGATCTCTCAAGTTCTCACCTAGGTTAAACGAAATAAACTCGTGGGGAAATTGCTACCACCCCCTTGCTCGGTGGTAACAATTCCACATTCCTATGGCAGGACCCACATGTGCAGCAAAACTCACCTGGCCAAGGGTCGGAAGGTGACCTTGCCGTTTCCGCCTCCCGTGGTGCCGCGCCGCCCACCGCCACCCTTCTTCTGACCGCCTCCTCCTCCACCTCCTCCTCCTCCACCACCACCACCTCCACCACCTCCTCCTCCTCCTCCACCTCCACTCCCACCTCCCTTGACACCTCCCTTGACAGTGTTGGGCCTGAAGTCCTCGTCCTTGCGTGCCCGCTCGCGCTCCCTCTCGCGCATCTTCTCCTTCTTGCGTCGCTTCTCCTTGCGCTCCTTCTTCTTGGGCTTGCAGATGGGGCCCTGTGACAGCGCCGCCAGCTGCTCGTGCACGGCTCGCAGCTGTGGGGACGCAAAAAAGTACAAAGATTACCCGGGTAGCCTTTAACAGATTGCTGGGGCAAGTGCTGTAAGAGTACATTTTTTTTTTAAACCAGGTTAAGGCTCACCGAGTTATATAGCTCATTTTCAGAAGCGACCTGGACCACCGCAATTGACAGCTCAACGAAGCGGCTTATTTGTCACGTGGAAATTTATAGCAGCCAAAACACTCTAAACCCACATTGATGCAAAAAAATGGAGGGAAAGACTGGAGGACGAGAGAAATATCCATGCGACCACGGGGAGAACGCGCAAACTTGAAATATACACAGTAGGTGTCAGGGTCGGGATGGAACCCACAACCTCCATACACACCAGGCGAGGGAGTTAACATCTCGCCACCGCCTGTGCAAACCGGCAAGGCGCACTAAGAGGTGGGAGAGTGGGTAGGTGGCCAACACCACTCTACCACGCCGGCCCGGCCACCTGCGTCTCCCCAGTGCTCATCTTTTAAACCCACACCACACAATGTACACGTGTGTTGCAGAGCCGACCTAAGGGAGGGTCCAGGACTGGTTCAAATATTAGTAGTCACTGCGATTGGGCGCGAGCGGGAATCGAACGCGGGTCGCCAGGTTTGTAGCGCGAGGTGCAAACCACTGCACTATCACTCCCCACTAAGACAAAGATCCCCGATAGCCTTAACAGACTGTTGGGGTGAGGAGCGGTTCGCAAGCACCTATGAAGGCCGGCACAGCGGCACGTGGGGGTGGGTGGCCAGCACTACGCCCGGCCGCCTTCGTCTCCCCAGTGGTGATGTTTACACACTGGACCACATACTCATTTGAGGTACAGTTGACCTAGGGGAGGCCCAGGACCAGTTCAGACAATCGTCACTGGTGTTGGTGGCCATGCGTGGGAACTGAACTCAGATCGTAGAAGTCACACCGTGACCGCTGTGACTACCGCTGCACAACTTCTCGCCCACACACCCCCGCCATAGCCTGAACAGACTGTCGGGGCACGTGCCGGGTTCACAGTGCAGCACGCGAACCGCTACTGTTCCCCACGACACACAAACAGACACACACACGCGCACACGGACAAAAAAAGTACCACTTGGCATGGGGTGGGGCCCAGTCTAGCTTTGTGGAGGGCAAGTCAGGTGCATGCTGAACTTCTTTTCGCACCGTACGTAGCCAACTGTGCCAAGCGTAAACAATTGGGGGCGGTGACGCGGCCCAGCACTGCGTGCGTTCAACGCTTGTCGCAGAGGGATTGAGCGGTTCGAATCGGGCGGGCCGCCCTGGTCGAGTGCGTAAACACCACACTGCCCTAATACATTTCAGACCCAGCCCAACTGAATAGAATCACGTGACAAAACTCTTGACAAAGACAAGACGTAACGGTTAAGTAATCACTCGGCGTGCTTGGGGGGATAAAAAGTAAATATATAACAGGATAAATAACGCTTTCCTCCCACATTTGCCAATCCACAAATAGAAAATTTTTTTACACCGCCCATCACAGCTGCAAGGCCTTCTGGGATTGCAACCTATAAGCAGCGTATCTTACAGAATGGGTCCTCGCCTCTAAATATCTGAAAGTTCACCAGCATTGTTTCAGGCAGATCCCCGACTGCCACTGAATGTCGAAACCAGCCCTTGCCTATATACATCTGGTAGTTCGCCCGCAACGGTTCAACCAAAGCCCGACTGCTATTGAGACACCGAATGTTAGAACAAGTACAGAATGTTGCTTCTGCTGAACCAAGACGCTTCCCAAGAAGATCGTGGGCGGCCGATGAGTTGCGTGGTAAACTTTTTTTTACGTGGAGAGATAAATATGGGACCGGGGGCGTTCGTTATCTTTTGTCTATCGGTACGTACCTAGGCCGAGTGTCCCAGGCTGTCCCCCACATGAGTCTGAAGCTTCGTTACGACTAGGAAGAAAATAACACTTTGAAGTTACGGTTCAAGCGCGCCGGCGCTAGGAGCACGAGAGCGGGGAAACGTCAACGCGACATCGCCACCCCTCCCCCCGTAGATTTTAAAACGCATTGACCGAGACATTAAATCGACGTCTCCGGAAAGCGCCGAGGCAAGCGCATGTCTGACCAAAAACTTTACAGGGTCTTAGTATTTTGCTTTATAGTTAACGAAGCGTCATAACAAAACCCGAGCCGACAAGCCGAGGGAACTCTCAGCTGGGTATGCATCTACAACGACGATGGCTCAATTCTTAAATCGAAGGTTTTTTTTTTGTTCAGGAAATTTGCCACCCCACCCCAAAACGTAATCCCAATTGCGATAGTAATGACGTCCACTCGTAGCTCTGTGCCACCGCCGCCACCGACGCACGGAATTTGTGCTTCCTCTCGCAGAGAGAGAGAGAGGACAACTCGGAGGCACGAGGACGAACCCAACCTCGTGATGGGTAAGCGATAGAGGGAAATGGGGAGTGATATGGCCATTGATAAGGCGAGCGGGTGGAAGAGCAAGTGAAAGGGCGAGCGATATGGCGAGTGAGCGATAGGGCAAGAGAGTTGATGAATGAGTGATAGGGCGCGCGGTGCCTATAGGCCCCCCCCCACCTGCTCTTGCAGCTCCGCCAATCGGTTGGCTCGCTCCTCCTCAGAGTCGGAGCTCTCGCTGCCCGAGCTCTCGCTGCCGCTGCTCGACGACGAGGAGGAAGACGACGAGGAAGATGACGACATTGAGTCGTCCTCGTCGCCCCGGTGGTCCCCCATGCTGTTGTCGGGCCGCAATTGCTGCTGCTGCTGTAGTTGTTGCAGCTGTTGCAACTGCTGGTACTGCTGCAGTTGAAGCTGGAGCTGCTGCTGCTGCTGCTGCTGCTGTTGGTGGTGGTGATGGTGGTGGTGGCGGCGGCCGCCACTGCCCGAGTGTGGTGAGGATACGGTGAGCGAGAGATGCGCTTCTGGGGGCTCGTCCGGCATTTTGGCGAAGCGCATCTCAAACACGTCCTGGGCAGGGCCAGACAGAGAAGGTTGGTCAGCGACTCTCACCTGCATGTACTGCATGTGTGTCTATGTTGGGACTTCTTTCGCACCGTACGTAGCCAAACGTACTGAAATCAGAGGCGAGGGGCAAGGACAAACTAAATACAAAGAACAGTTCTAAACAAATAAGTTTTAAATCTAGTTATCAGGGTGTATAGTTGAATATTTCCTGTATAGTGTAATGTATAGTATGTAGAAATGATTTTGCACCATGCGTAGCCTAACCGTGCTAATCGGAGATGCTGGGGGGGGGGGACAAACTAACAGCTGGATAAGGACAAACGTGAATTAATGAGTGAATTAAGGTTAAGGTTTAGGGACCTCTGAGAATCTGGACTAAACAGATCCAAGTAGCTGCTCACTATTAAACAAGGTTCTCAAGCATAGCGAGTTGATGGTCTCAGCCCGGTCACCAGTGTCTCAAGAGAGCCGTAGACTCGCATAGAGATCCACATACTCATATTGACTTGAGTTGTGATTAAGTGAGTTGAAGAAATACCCACATACTCGCACAGTTGTGATGAAACAGGATTTTTAAATGTACCGAGTTTGACTCTCAGTCCCCCAGTGGCTGGCACAATGCAACACCCATCATACAAAATTATCTTCTGCACTTAAACTTGGCTAACGTCTACACATCTGGAAAAAATAAATAAACACATCAGCGGTTGGACAGCCACGTTCGCCAAAGGTCAGCAAAACAGAGGGCAGCGGCAACACAGACATCGAAACGCAGGTAATCTCTCAGAAGGGAGCTCTGCGAGATCCTCTTTCGGTGCGGACGTCGCTATGCAATGGTTCTCATCACGGAAACTCCGGTCACCACCCTAGTAGCAGCAGCGGCTTATGGCTCAGCCATCAAACAAAGACGGCCACAGCATCGCGCAATTTCAGATGCACTCCTGCGGCCGTCTGGAAACGCTCTTTGCTTCTGATATAAGCCACTGCAGGTATGCACTTTTAAATGATCTTTAGAACTGCTTTGTGTATAGCCACGGTCAGCTACGTACGGTGCGAAAGAAGTTCAACATACATCCAATCGATTCCGAGTCTCGTGACGCGACGCTGACAGCGAGTGGGATATGTTGAGATGGGAGCGGAAGTGAAGACGCTTTTTTGTTGGTCTCACCTGCAGCTTGCGCGCCATGGAGACGACGTCGTGATCCGGCGGGTTGTACTTGTAGCAGTTGGAGAACATGACCCGCACGTCCGCAGCAAACTCCTGCGCGTCCCGGTAATCCCGGTTGTCCATCTTATTCTGTGTGCGCAACAACAAAAGACAAAGATCCCCCAACTCCATGTAGCCTTAATACGACTGCTGGGAAGTGCTGTTTGCGAGTAGCGCCTACGAAGGTCGGCACGGCACACGAGAGGGGTGGGTGGTACAGCACGACACACGCCCGCCCGGCCACCTATCTCTCCTCCCCAGTGGGAAAGTTTACACATCGCACCAGCTAACTCATTTGAGGCCGAGTCAACTTAGGAGAGGAGGCCCAGAAAAGGTGCAGAGAATCGGCACCTGGCGTTGGAAGCGAGCTGGAATCGAACTCGGGTCGTCGGGTTCCGAGCGCAGCACGCTAACCGTGACACCACCACTCCCTATACTCACACACCCACCCACTCATTCAAACACCCACCCACCCATCCACATACACAACTTAAGTAAAATCCGGATTCATAGCAGAGACAGGGGGCATGAGGCTGCTGCAAGTAGTCGGGGGTGATGTTACTGTGTGTGCACGGGTTATCCCAATTGTGTCGTGCAGGTAATTTTCGAATTTAGCTCATTTGGAACCCTCATGCCGGTACACAAAGGTCTACACTTGCAAATGATGGCAACGTCATTAATACCACCATCGCCGACCCCGCAGCATTAACCAGGGCGGCCGCCGGATTCGAACCTCGAACCTCCGCGATGGGCTGCGAACGCAACCCCCGGTGACAGCTCACCGTGCGCCGTACATCGCGAGGGGAGGGAGGGACGAGGGGAGGGGGCGGACGGCTCAACGAGCGAGGAGGGAGGGCGGGCGGGCGGCGTCTCACCTTGATGGTGCTGAGGTCCATGGGGTGCTTGATGATGTCGTGGTAATCGTGCAGGCCCAGCGTGGAAGCGTCGACGGGTTTGTAGAAGGGCCACGCGTACGCCGCGTGCTTCTTGGCAAACAGCTCCTTCAGGATGCCATTGCAGTGCTTGAGTTGCTCCGACAGCTTCACCTGAGGCGAGCCCAAAAGCGGGGTCTCACATTAGAGCCTGTGACGCCTGTGACGCCCGTGTGGGTGGGTGCGTGCTGGTGACGCGTGCGGTCTGTAATCAGAAACTGGTAGGAAGCGACGGTCCGTCAATGGATCGCCGCACAGAACGCTGCGAAACTCCCTCATCCATTGGCATTGACGAGGAGCTGTAACCCGGGCTCTGCCAGAAGGCGGCACAAACGCAGTAAAGCGTGGCGCAAATCGCCATCTGTTCAACTCCTTTCCAGTGGGCGGGTGTCGAGGTAGGAGTCGCACCCTTTACGCCAGTTTCCACCCACATGTATAAACATGAATTCATTGGCTGAAAACACCTGAATATGTAGAGGACCATGGAGCTTGGGCGATTGTTACAGGGTAACATCATTATTATTGTTAGGGTGTCAACGCGGCTAGATGTTAACTATATCGCTTGGTATACAAGAGGTCGTGGGTTTGTTCCCGACCTTGACGCCTGTGGTTGCGTGGATTTGTCTCCGGGTGCTCTGGTTGTCATCTCCACATTTAGAAACAACATGCGTTTTAGAGTATTTGGCTGCTATAAATGTACACGATGATGACGACAAGTCACTTCGTTGAGCTATCATTTGTGATAGCCAGGTCGTTTCTGAAAAAGAGGTACGTAGCTCAGTGGGCCTTACCTGGTAAAATAAAAGTTTATAGTTTCATTATTATTATTGTTAAAGGTGCAGCCCTCGAATATCTTGCTCACCCCAATGCTGGTAGAAGGGCCTGCAATTTTTGGCGCTCTTCCACACTGGCCAAACGTCTTTGAAGAAGTAGGTGCATACCGTGATTGTAGCGGTTAGTGCGCTGCGTGACGAACCCGGCGACCCCGAGTTTGATTCCCGCTCATGGCCAAGACCAGTGACGATTACCTGGGACTTCCCCTAGGTCGACTCGGCCTCAAATGAGTGCCTGGTACGATGTGTAATCATCGCCACTAGGGAGACAAGGGGCGTGGTGCTGGCCACCCACCCCCTCATGTGCAACACTTGCCCCTAGTCTGTTAAGGATATATAAAGGATCTTTGTCTTTGTATACCACCACACTTTTCATAAAAAACCTATTCCTGAGCGAGAGTGTTGGTTGGGGCAGGTGGGGGGGGGGGGCGAACGGCAGAAAACGATCGTCAAGCACCATGTACGTAATGAGTTACTGGACAGGAGATAACGCACACACCGCTTCACCACACATACACAGGGCAATAATGCTCCATTCTACTTGAGCAGTAAACGAACCCCGACTGTTACCACCATTACCGTGCCTCTTAACCACAAGCACACACAACCCATACCTGCAAAACTTTAAACATTACCACGATTTTTGGTTTTGCGTGCCTGTCATGACACCTGCTTATGGGGCCTTCTCCCACGTGATGAGAGCAGAGCTTTCCTTAAACACCCGATGACGCTGGTCATCAGCGAGAGTGAAACGGCGTACAAAGTTGGCAACATTTCAGCTTGGGCTTTTCAACGTTCCTTCTCCTCCTCTTCTGGTTTAGTTGGTAAACCGAATCAATTGGCATATTTGCCCATAACGTCACAAATCGATTTTATTAGCTCTTGTCGGGTGGTGGAGGGTTATAGTCATAACAAATTGACATACCCACACAATCAAACCCAAAATATAGCAATTACGGATCATTTCCACGATCTTAATTATTGTTCTAAAGCTTCCTACAATTCCCCACGATCATTACCCCTCCCTTCACTCCAACTTGGTCAACTTGTTTCGCACCGTAACGTAGCCAACCGTGCTAAAAATCGTAGGTGCTGGAAACGGTATCATCATCATCCACGTAGCAAAAATCAACTCAACGGTCATAAATCCGAGGCCTTTCTATGACACTTAACTAGCTTTACCTGGCACTGTCGCCCCCCTCTCCCCACCTTCTTGCTGGTCTGGTGCTGCTGCTGCGAATCCGGCAGGTCCTTGCGCGGAGGCTTGATGGGCCTGCCACTCTCCCGCCGTGCCGGGATTTTGGCGGCCTTTGAGTCGGCGGCCATGGGCTTGGCGGCAGAGGTCATGATGGTGGCGGTGATGGGCGGTAGCGCCGGGGCCACCGTGATCGGCGTGGAGGTCAGTGAGGGCACTGGCGCCAGGTATGGCGACGGAGGGGGCGGCGGTGCAGTTGATGGCGTTGCCGGGCCTGGCGTGGTCGTGTCGGCCTTCCGCTTCACGCCTTTCTTTGTCTGCGACGGTCAACGGCCAACGTACATTAAAGAAAATCGGGACGGCAGACTAATTGGTTGGCCACCTAATTAAGCAACCGGTCAACCGGCTCATCAGAAAACCAAGTCACTTAACTCGCCAAACTATTTTACGACCCACTAGTCAATGGACTTATCAACCAGCACCAATAAAATCGCTCGCTCAAGTCTTTGATCAACCCAAGTTATTCATCAATGCTTATTCGCATGACGCCCGCCATGAGCTCGTTAAGCTAAGCAGGCTTGGAGGCATGCATTGTGCCCTGAAGAGTAACCCTCCATTCACCAAACACAGGTCGCCGTCGTCACCTATCGTTACCACCCTCTGTCTCCAGTAGTGGGCAGTGCAGCCAAGTCCATTGCTGTACCGTACTTCTGATATAATGTACGTTGCCAACGGCCAACCGAAGCACCGACCTATTTACGGTCCGATGGCTCCCCACTGTTTGGCGACGGGTGCCCATCCAAACAGAAGACCGACGATCAGGAGAGCAGTGCTGGTCATATATTTATCCACCACATGGATTTTTTTACTCTGGTTTTTCCCTCCACATTCTGAATCAACATTGCGCGTTTATAGTTATTTGGTTGCTATAAATCTCCACGTGATAATCCACTTTTTGAACTATTATTTGCGAGCAGGTCGCTTCTGAAAAAGCTCATAGCTCAGAGGCCCTTACCTGGTAAAAGAGTTTTTTTAAGTGATTTATTTAGCTTTCCTATACTTTGCACTCCGATCGTGTTTTTGTATCGTTTGTTGTTGTAATGTTTCCGACCCAGTGGCCCCAACTGGACATCTGTGAAAAAGAGCTTTATAGGCCGCCGGCCCACCACCTCACCTTGCCGACAGGATGAGGCTGCATCACGGGAAGGGCCGCTGTGGTGGGGGTGGCGCGGGGGGGCGGCTGCGGCGGTGGTGGCGGTGGGAGAGTAGTTCGCACCGCCGCCGGCGTTGCCGGGATCACCGGCGCCATGGCTGAGGGGGGTGAGGGGAAGGGGGGGGGAGCGTGGGGGGGGAACAAGCGCACGATTGCCGCCAATTCGCGATTGTTTAAGCCAGGGGTCCGGCAACCTTTCAAAGAAATGTTTTTTTGGGTTTTTGTCTGTAACCAAAAATAGTTCCGAGAGCCGCATCACACGCAGAGCTACTTGTACACAAACGCAGCAGCGGGTAAACGGCAGACACACATTCTGACTTAATGCCCGCAAAGGGGGCAGCCAAAGTGCACACAGCAGCAGCAGCAACATTGCCCAGTCACTGAGAAAACCTGGCAGGACCCTCTTTGGAAGGAGAGTCTTGAGACTCCTGGGTATACCAAAAGCAGAATTGTAATAACGTTGGCCAGGATTTCCCGCACAGCACCACCGACCACCACCGCCGCTACCGCCGCCGATTGTCTCACCGGGCTTGCGTCCGACCTTGCCCTTGACGGCCTTGGGTCCGGGCGAGGCCAGCACCACCTCTTCCTGTGGCATGAGCGCCACCTTCTGCAGGAACAGCCTTTCCAGCGTCTGTGCCATTAGCACAATGTCGTCCGTTGGCTGCAAACAAAGACAACATCAACTTGAACCTTCAACAGTGGCTGGGACAGAGTTTCTATGCGAGTCTATGAGCCTCAATGCGAGTCAATGAGTATCCATGTGTGTCTATAAGCCTCGAGTCTACGAGGCTCTGTCAACGAGCCTATGCAGAGCAACTGGGTGGCTGCTCCAACAACAAACCATCATCAAATGGCGAGGCACCAGAGGACCCAAATATCGCAGGCCCAAGTGGACAGGCCGCTCGCACCTTGTTGTACAGGTAGCAGTTTGTAAACATGGTGTTGAAGTCCTGGATGCACTCGCCGCCGCTCCAGTAGTAGTTGTTTTCCAATCGCCGGCGGATGGTTCCCATGTCCATCGGCTGCTTGATTATCTTGTGGTAGTCCTGCGGCACATCGCTCCCATGTCAAAATAATGGTAATAATGACGATGTACAGTAAAACCTTGGATTGCGAGGATAATTCGTTCTGGAAACGTGCTCGAAATCCAAAGCACTCTTATGTCAAAACTAAGTTCCCCATAAGAAATAATGGAAACTCAGATGATTCGTTCCACAACCTAGAAATACTGTATTCATATAAAAATTATTAATCCAAAATACCTTTTTATACTTTTATCATTTAAATTTAATAAAGTAATCAAATGTATTATTTACATTTAATCGTGGCTGTGTGAGGGAGACGAGAGAGGAGAGGAGGAGGGTTATTGTGTAGGACGACTTTCACTTGCAGTACATTTACTAAAGAAGTCACGACACTTAAGACACAAAATAAAAAATGCTTTACGAACACACACGTGGTCACAACACTATACTGTAGAAAAAAGTATACGCTCGCACGGATGTTGACTATACGAGTGAGGCACGCCGACTGAGATCGAGCATGGGAGATGATTACCCACAATCCCGCAGTGAGAGAGAGAGAACTATTGGCTCAGTTGTGATCACGTGACGCTCGGCAGACAAAGCATATACTGTACGTACTGCTCGTATTGCAAGACATCGCTCATTTATCAAATTATTATTTATTTACCATTTTTGCTCGTCTTGCAACACACTCGCAGACCAAGTTACTCGCAATCCAAGGTTTCACTGTACATCTGTCAGGCCACTGTGAATGGGCGAGCCATGCGGGCGAGGCGAGTGTGCGACTGGGATGCATGAATCGGTAAGCTGTGTGGGGGCGAGAGACGTACGTGGGGGGTGAGGTGCATGGGGTGCGTGGGAGTGAGTGAGACTTGCGAGTTGGTGGGTGAGGCGCATGCGTGGGGGCGAGTGGGATGTGCGTGTGTGCAAGCTGCGTGCGCGGTGGCCCCTGACCGGCAGGTGGAGCGCGTTGGCGTCGACAGGCACGTTGAACGGCCACGCAAACTGGTGCTTCCACAGCGCCTTCATGACCGTGCGCTGTAGATACTGCAGCTGGTTCGTCAGCCGCCCTGGCTTGTTGGGGTTCGCCGTCTCCGGCTGCTGGAGGCTTGGTGCGCCGGCGCCGCCCTGCGAGGCCGCCGCCGGCGGCTTTCGGGCGCCACCACCGCCGCCGCCGCCGATAGCTGCTGCCGTGGCAGCACCGCGTGGCGCTGCCGTCACCGGCGCTCCCTCGAAGCCCTCGTAGAGCAGCGAGGGCTTGCGGATCCGCTTGCCCCCGCCGCTCGGTGCATCGCCCATCACCATCCCGTTCATGCCGTTGCCAAGCTCGCCCTGTGACCTATAGGGCGGCCAAGGGGGAGGGGGCGAGCTTGAGCACAGAAGGTGGTGCTAGACGGACACAGCCAAGGCTACCACGTGAAGATTTCCCCGCTTGTGTGACCAGAACCAATGCATGCCATGTGGCCAGGTCGCTTCTGAAAAAAAAAGCGAATAGCTCAGTAGGCTTTATCTGGTCAAATAAAATAAAACATGTTCAAATGTTTTCAAGTGATCCGTTTACCTTTCCTATACTTTGTACTCCTATCATATTTTGTATTTGTTGCGTGTTGTTGTAACTTTATAAGCCATTCCTTCGGGACATCTGTGAAAGAGCTTTACAACTCAGATTCCTCCAGTGTGAATAAATATTCTGAAAAGCCCCGTCACCACAATAAATGAGCCTTGACCTCTGAAGTGCTTTGAAGGCAATCTGAAGATGGATCGGTTCTGTAAATAACGTAGCTCGCTCCAAGATGCAGAGAATACGGTGAGGGCTTATGGGAAGTGGGCAGCAGAAGGAAGGTGGCAGGGGTGGGCACCAAAAAATGTTCTGCACACCGTCACCCAAATGGGAATTTCCAATTGTTAAGATGAACTTAGTGACCATTGGACTGTGGCATGGAGCAGAAAAAAAAATCGTTTTTACAGAGGTACAAACCCTTATTTTAAGCGAGTGGCCATTGTCTTCAGTGTCAGTAATAGCGCACATAGCAACATTGTATCATATTGTCACACTACACATTTCCAACCAACCCACCCACCAACACAGCACTACAGCAATACACCATCCCACAATCACATGGCAGGCAAGTCTCTCAAACACCACATTCGCCACCCTAATAACACCACCACAACCTAAGCAAGTACTGCTCACACACTACTAAATGCTCTCGTACATAGCACTCCTATACTCACAATCTTTATTTATACTGCAGGAATCCAATGAGCTATAAAAGTTCCATCCCACCTGTCTCCCCAGTCCTGATGTTAACACACCCGCAGCAGGTACTCATTTAAGGTCGAGTCAAACTAGGGGAGGCCCAGGACCAGGTTAGATATTTGTCACTGATGTTTGGCCACGAGCAGCAATCGAACCACACTGGTAGCGCAATGCGAAGTGCAAAATTACCGCTGCCCACATACTAACATTATCATCACTATTGTCCTCATTATCATTATTGATACCTTCACCACCACCGATGTAAACTACAATTTTTTTATTTTTTTACCAGGTAAGGCCCACTGAGCTATGTAGATCTTTTTCAGACGTGACCTGGCCACAAATAATAGCTCAACGAAGTGGCTTATCACGTGAAAATGTGTAGCAGCCAAATACTCTAAAAGCATGTTGTTTCAAAATCTAGAGGGAAAAACTGGAGCCAGAGAAAAATCAACGTGACCACGGGGACAGAGACATGAAAACTCCAAATATACAGCAGGCGTCAGGGTTTGGATCGAACCCATGACCGCCTGCATACCAGGAGAGGATGTTAACGTCTCAGATGGGGGGGGGGGGCAGTGATGGGAGCAAATCAATGGAGAAAAGGAGGAAATAGAGGGAGAGATGGAGGGGAATTATGTATTTAAGGGTCGGGATCGAACCCACGACATCCTGTATCCCTCGGGAGGTAGTTAACATCTCCTAGCCACCGCCACCACTCCCGTGATGTCCATCATCACCTTCATAATTCAAACGCACGAGCAAACGCTCAGAAGCACCGCACCCTCGTCCAACAGAAGCAGCACCCGAGGTTCCACGTCGCCGCGCCCGCCGTTAAATCACGAGCACAAGGATGGACGGAGCAGGGAGAGCCGCGCGCGTCACGCCACCTCGGCCACACGCGCACACATCCCGACGTAACTGGAGACGCTACGCACCGAGGTCACAGCGATCAACCCCAGTCTGCACAAGGCAGCAGGAACAGCTTACCCTCAAGGCAAGCGGGGCACTGAACTCACACATTCCCAGTGAGCAAAAGACAAAGATCCCCACCACGTATAGCCTGTAACACACTGTAGGAGCAAGTACTATTAGGAAGCAGGCTGGCACAGCACACGAGGGGGGCCAACACCACACCTGACCCGTCTTTGTCTCCCTCGTGGCAATGTTTACACACCACACTGGGTAATCATTTGAGGCCGACTTGACCTAGGGGAGGTCCAGGACCAGTTCAGATAATCATCGTTGGTGTTGGCCGTGAGCGGGAATCGAAAATCGGGTTGCCGGTTTCGTAGTGCAGCGCATTAACCACTCCACTACCGCTCCCCACAGTGAGGTCACGTGCGTATGCACACCGCAGGTGGTCGAAGAGGCCACAAGGATTAAGTGGACTTAACGCAGCTCACCACACTTCACCTCCGCAGATCGCCAGAGAACCCCACACCACAGGTGTCCCATCAGGGCACACGAGTAAGTGAACGCACCCAGCTCACCATAGGTGCCCCCAGGGCACACAAGTCAGTAAACTTGCACAGCCCTCCACAGAAACCAAACACCACAGATGCCCTTAGGGCACATGGGGGGCGATGGCAGCATGGGGGGGCAGCGAGCAGACAGTGTCCTTGAAACAATGTGGGCAGCTGTACCCGTGTCCTGCATAATAAAGTGGGAATTTGATTATATATATTTCGCACCTCCGATGAGCACAGTTCAGAATCACAAGCAGAATATTCATTCATGGAGGAATCGAATAAGCTATGAAGCTCTTTTTCACAGATGTCCAGTAGAGGTGGGTTAGAACGTCACAACAGCCAACAATGCACATACATTTCGATTTAAAGCTTTCGTGACTGCAAGGATTAATCTTCTTTGGTTCTTTCGGTAAAGTCACCACGTAGAATGAGAATAAAATAATAAATTGATAAAATAAAATAACACAATAAAATTCTCACGACGTTTCGGCCACAACACAAGCGAACTTCATCAGGGACGTCCCACAACACAAGCGGCCTTCATCAGGTGAAGGGACGAAACATCGAGACAGTCTCGTCCCTTCACCTGATGAAGGCCGCTTGTGTTGTGGCCGAAACGTCGTGAGAATTTTGTGTTATTTTATCAATTTATTATTTTATTCTCATTCTACGTGACTTTACCGAAAGAACCAAAGAAGATGAATACACACACAATAGGAGTGAAAAGTATAGACAACTTTTAACAAATCACTTGTAAAAAAGTATATAAATCTCAACTATTTTTATCTTACCACAAGTGACCTGGCCATCACAAACGATAGATCCTTGAACAGCATAAAGTGAAGCAGTGCCGACCGTGTTGCAGGCTGTATGTTGAACTTCTTTCACACTGCGCGTAGCCAACCGTGCTCATTGGAGGTGCGGGGCGGGGGGGACAACATACTAAACACAAAATGCAGTTCTAAAGAAATGTTTCTAATTTTGTATAGTAGTCTAGTGTATAGTGTCGTGTGTGCAAGTTGAACTTTCACACCGTAGGTCGTCTACCATGCTAATCAGAGGTGCGGCGGAAGGATAACAAACTAAACACAAAAAGCACTTAAGGAAATAACTGTGACTCCAACTACAGTAGCAACGCTGGATTTTATGTTGCGGGACATGTCTTGTGATTTTTCGGCGACATCGGTGGGCTTTAAGTTTATGCTTAACATAGATTGGTAAAGTAGTTTATTTAAACAAAACTTTGAATTTGACCAGGTAAAGGTCCACCGAGCTGTGTAGCTCTTTTTTTAGAAGCGACATGGCCGCAAATGACAGCTCAACGAAGCGGCTTATCACTGTGTCGAAAACTATAGCAGCCAAAGGTACTCTAAACGCATTAATGTTGATTCTAAATGTGGAGCGAAAACCCGGAGGAAACGGAGAAAATTCACGACCACGGGCAGAACATACAAATCTTCTTTGGTTCTTTCGGTAAAGTCACGTAGAATGAGAATAAATTAATAAAATAACAATAAAATTCTCACGACAGCAGGCGTCAGTCGGGATCAAACCCACGACCTCTTGTAGACCCGGCGAGGTAGTTAACATCTTGCCACTGTGACGCCCCTTAAAAGCAATACAAACAACATTACATGCAGAAAATGGGATGGATTTGGTCTTAACGTAAACAACGTGATTTTTAGCCATGCATGTATTTAGTTTGTCCTTCCCCGCACCTATTGGCACTGTTGGCCTCGTACATTACAAAAGGTATGTATGTATACAAGTACGGTGTGAAAGAAGGTCAAAATACACACAGGTTTCCTCTCCCACTTAAAACGACTTGGTAATTGGCTAAAAAAAATCTTCAAATAAAAACCGAATGAAAAAAAGAGTCGCGTGACTCAGCGCGGCTCTCCGGGATATAAATAAATAGTTGTTATTATTGAGTATATCGGATTATATCAGGGCACCCCACCCATTAAATTAGGTCGGCACGGAGTAACCGGGAGTCGTTCTTTCGTAGTGGCCAGCTGACCGCCATTGCCATTTCGGTACCCAACACATTACCATGCACGTTAATGGAATATAATTTCCATGCTGCGGCAGTGGGAGACAATTGACTTTGGTTGCGCAACTTTAACCGGTCGCTCAGGTGTGGAGCGGTTTAAACTCGGTAAACCTCCACACGTTTCCCCCTCAAGGTCAGTTTTGACAAAATATCCAGATCTTCTGTCAATCCCTTTACGTGTCACGAGTGTTATTCCTAACGAGCGACCCTTAAAATCCGTTATGATTTTGTTTTATAAAAATGGGGTGGAGCAGCGCCACAGTCGTTATAAAACCAGCTACCGGAGTTAGATTCCCCCTGCCACGGTTAACATCAGTGGATGGTCATATTCGAACCAGTCCTGCCTCATCTATCCCTAGCATGCCCGAACCAGCGTGAAGTATGGTCACAACCCTCATGGCCATCACAGCGTGGGGAGGCCTTCATCCAGTGGACTAACAAAAGAGGCAGTTCATTTCTTATTAAACATTTTATTTTTAATAACCTGTTGCATTGTGTCTAAGTTTAATCGAAAAAGCAACGTTACACGATCTTACAAGGTAACTTAAAAGCGT